GTAATCCATGTTAGCGTTCCCTCGATCCTTCATTGCGGTAAAAAGGCGAAAACCCTGGATACCAAGTATTTCGCAGTTCCCCACAACATCATCCTCACTTCCTCGCCCGAGCCCTGGATCCGCATGACTGCGACTGTTGAGATGTGCGATGAAGTTCCGACGTGCAGCTGTAAGCCAGGCCCCTTGAGTTGGGCCATCACGTTGCGGGCGGGTGGGTGGGAGGTTTCCTCGAACATTGGAGTTGACGACTTCAGTCTTCAAGTAAAGTGCAACACATGAATTACACCCGATCGCTGCAATTCATAGGTTGCAATGCTCCGCTCCCGAAGTTGCAACACGTTGCACCTCGTATTGGAGTTGTACTCCGCAGATTGCACTCCGTGCGTTGTACCACAAGAGTGCACCCAATATGTGGCATGCCACGAAGATTGAACTCACTGCTTGGGAGCTACGGCCAGTCCCCTCCCCTTCCCCTTCTCTCCCTCCCCTCCCCTCCCTCTCTTCCTCCCTCCCTACCTCCCTCCCTCCCTCTCTCCCTTCCTCCCTCTCCCTCCCTCCCTCACTCCTTCTCCTCCTCCTCCTCCTCTTCCTCCTCCTCCTCGATCGACGGGCACGTTCGAATTTGGAAGGCGATGGGCCCAAAGATCCGGCGCTCCAAAGAGATTCGAGCGGGCGCTTTGGGGTCCTTCCCGGCCTCTGGGGGAACCCTTGCCTGGCCTCGGGACCGCCAAAGAACGACTCGGGACGACAGAACCGGCCATGGGGAAGTGGCCCGGACCTCTGAGGCCCACGCATCGAAAAAATTGGATGCAGCGGGATGTCTGGGGAAGTAGTTTGGGCTGCCACCCGCCTCATGAAGAGGAGGGAAGGGGGAAGACCACTCGACCCTTGAAGTAGGAAGGCGCCCAAACTAGCCTGGGATCTAGGAATCCAAGAATACGTACTTTCAACGATCGACGGGTACGTTCGAGCTTCTTTTGGCCGCTCCACACCAATGCGTCCCGCTGGCCACCCTAGCAATCTGCACCGCGGAAGCCTTTCCGCCCAAGATGGCTCCAAGTTAACGGGCGGAGAACGGTATCAAATAAGTTGTTTCGCTCTCGGGGGCGCCTGTCCCAGGGCGGCTGGAAAGTTTATACGCTTACGGTGGCAACGTAGGGTATAAACTTTCCAGCCGCCCAGGGGCAGACGTCTCGACTGCGAAAAAGTTGATGTTATACCGTTCTTCGCCTGCTGACTAAGAGGGCCTCCAGCACGGCGAAGATGCCCCCGGATGGCCTCCAACACGCGGGGGGGCGCCGTCAGCCTGCCCGGGGCTCACGGAGGCTTCCTCGCGGCCGCCGCGCCCGTCGACGGCCCACGCCAGCGTCGCCAAAAAGTATACGTTCAAGGGTCGCGTGTTTCAACAGGAGGGGAAAAGGAGGAGGAAGAGGAGGAGGGGGAGGAGGAGGAGGAGGAGGATGAGGAGAAGGAGGAGGAGGAGGAGCATCGAAGGGGCCTCGAGGATCGAGGGTCGAGCGTCCAGGGCTTAATGCGCGTCGCCGGCCGCGAGCGCAAGCGCCTCCGTTGCCACCGACCTGCTCTGATTCAAACCGAGGCGCCCAAGGCGCCGCCATTCCTGTCGACGGCTGCCACACCAGTGATCGGCGGCTGCGAGCGCTTGCGCCTCGCGGCCAACCTTTCTAATACATGGTACACCTCTCTTTTTACCTAACAGCGAAGACTGATAGGTTTCTAGTTGACTCAAAAGAGCTCACAGATCACTCCACAGGGGGGTCCGGGCAGGTGTTGGGGAGTTGCAGGGCGGCAGGGTGCCGGGCTCGTTTTTCACCAACAGTCACACACTTCGTGCTCTTCGACTTCCCAGAACTCCATTCCCAGGCCACATTCTGAATACCCGGATGCAACAGTCACACACAAAGTGCTCTTCGAGATCCCAGAACGCCATTCCCGGGCCACATTCTGAATAACCGGATGCAACAGTCACACACTTCGTGCTCATCGACATCCCAGAACGCCATTCCCGGGCCACATTTAGAATAACCGGATGCAACAGTCACACACTTCGTGCTCTTCGAGTTCCCAGAATTCCATTCCCGGGCCACATTTTGGATGCCCGGAGCCAACTGTAGGCCACTTCGTGCTCTTCGAGTTCCCAGAACTCCATTCCCGGGCCACATTTTGGATGCCCGGAGCCAACTGTAGGCCACTTCGTGCTCTTCGAGTTCCCAGAACTCCATTCCCGGGCCACATTTTGAATGCCCGTAGCCAACTGTAGGCAACTTCGTGCTCTTCGACTTCCCAGAACTCCCATTCCTGGGCCACATTTTCAGCAGGGGCAAGAGCACGACGAGGAGGAGGACGAGCAAGACAGGAGGACGAGGACGAGCAGGAGCAGGACGAGGAGCAGGAGGAGCAGGAGAAGAAGGACGAGCAGGAGGAGGAGGAGGACGACCAGGAGGAGGAGGACGACCAGGAGGAGGAGGACGACCAGGAAGAGGAGGAGGAGGAGGAGGAGGAGGGGAGGGGGAGGACTACCAGGAGGAGGAGGAGGAGGAGGAGGAGGAGGAGGAGGA